GCTTCTTTATCTGGAGTATGGGCTGGTCCAAATGCTACCAGAGACCACAGGTACGAATAAATGACTTCCTTTTTAATTGATAATCGATATTTTTGCTGTTTCACCTGCCATGCTTGCACTTTTCAGTTCCTTTTTTTTTCTTTGAATGGAAGCATTTCTCAATTCTTAGAATATACTTTCATAGTGAAATTTGCTTAGTGAATTTATGTTGGTGGATATTTTAGTCTCATTAGGTGTCATCTAAACTTAGTTCTTCATATTTTAGACCATATTGATTATTTCATTTGTCAGGTTGTGAGGTTATAATATGTGGGTTTGAGTTGCCTCTGGTGAGTCTTATTATTTTTCATGTGATTGTGCAGTCATAAATTGCAACCGCTGGTAGATTGCATTTTGTCACTGGGAAGAACTCTGGAGAAAAAGCACGTGTCTGGTGTGACTGAGACTGAGACTGGTGGACTCGCCCGTAGGCTGAAGAAAATGTTGGTAGAGCTCAATGAATATGATTATGCCAGGGAAATAGCAAGGACCTTCCATGTCAAGGAGGCGTTGTAAACCAAGTTGGAAGGAGAAATAAAAAATCAACAGTGTCACGAATGTTTATAACCATGTGGACTTGCCCTTAAAAGTTGACAAACCTTCGAGATAAACCAACGTAATACAGTGGAAAGAATCACTGTTAAAGTTGACAGAGCCACCAGGGCCAGGGACAGTCGTCTCAAGCTGAAAAATAGAAGAAAAAGAGCCGCGGACCTGACACGAAGAGCATATGAAGGATCCATCTCAAGAAGCCAGATCTTCTCTCTTCTAATGACTTGATATGATTCTTGGAGTCTTGGCTGGCAAGATGAGGATTTTTCGGAGGTAGAATATCTAAGAAGCAATTATGTGATTCCTTTGATGATCTAAGTGTGGGACTTCACCGTGAATGTTTCCTCAGCTGTAATTTTGATTGAAAAAAAATGAATCCAATGGTAGAATTTATGCAGTTCCTTTTAGGTTTCCAGGATAACTAATTACCCGTTGACTTCAAAATCAACTGCCCACTATTCATATTCTTAATCCATGGGAGTTCATAAATTCTAGCAGCATTTTGGTGTATCTACCTTGTTATGTGACATTTTATAGTAATTTGCTAACCAGACTTGTCACTCATCAAGGAGGGGGGCTGTCTCTCTTTTTGGATTTTTGGGACATTTTTGTTTTTGCATTGTCTTTTCTGAATTTGTGGACAGATTGACATCACGAAAAATGGTTACAACGACTAATTTCTGCATCTAAAGTGATCTTTAGTAATTAATAAACTTCTCAGGCAGGATTTGAGCATGGAGGTAGCTTGGAAGTGAAAGTAGATGGAAGGCATTATTTCTACTTTTTGGTTTTGTTTAAATGCCAACTCTATTTTACTATTTTTATTTTGATCTTATGATTTAGTATATTTCGTTGGATTGTGATTTATTATTGTGATATTTGATGAAGGTATTAAGGATTTGAATGGTGAAAATTATTATGTTTAATTTTAAATCAAAATTATATATAATTATTGAGTATTATATGAAAGTTGAAGGAATGTAATTTTAATAACTTGAATTGAGTTTTTGAAAAATAGTAGTTAGGTTCTCAAAATTGTTTAGTCAATGATTATTGAGATCAAAGTAATACATGTATTCCCTTTGATTATTTCAATAAAGAAAAAATGAAACTGTATTAGCTCATATGAACTATGATCCTTTTTAATTTTTTATTTTATAGAAGTTTATTCTTTAAAAAAAAATGAGACCATGTTTACTTTGGTAAATATAAAAATATATTTTTGAAATAATTATTTTCTTATTTACTCTTTCAAAAACTTTGAAATTATCTTGAAAATAAAATAGTATAATATTATTGAAAGTTTTGTCTTTCCCCCACCCTGTGCTCCCCTCTTATCCTCCTCTTCCATATGATAAAGTAATTACTTTGTCTTTGGTTTATATTTAATTATATTTTTATTTAATTTTAAATATTAATCATTTAATATTTAAAAATTAGTCAAATACTTTTTGATAAAAAGAGTGAATTATAAAAATATCTAATCTAAATTAAATATAAAATTAAGTTGACATCATAATACTTCTTTCATTCAGATTTTCATCATATTAATGTTTTACTTTCATTCATATTTTTATTTTATTTTCATTCTCATTTTTATAGAATTAAAAATTTATAATGAACTCAATGTTAATACCTTACAAATTAGTAAGACCACATAATATATTTTTCATCTGAAAATAAAATTTAATTATCTTAAGAAGACCCGCTTTAGTTATATAATATTATAGTAATCTATCAATTTATGTTATATTATAAATATACCTTTAAAAGTCAAAAAACATTTAACTCAAATGACATAATATTTTCATATAAGAGATAATTATTTGAATTCAAGTCATATTTCATCTTCTATTTTAAAAAAATATCTTTAAAAATTATAGTATTTATTAAAAAAATTTAAATAAAACTTGATACATAAAAGATATATACGTACAATATATATATTAATATTTTAAGTAACGCTTAACTATAAATAAATCGACTAATAACTAAATATTTTAGAAATAAATCAAAATTACAAAAGAAAGATAATATAAAGGTTGTTTATTCCGAACAAAATATTTGAGTTCGATTTTGTTAGAATTCAGTTAATTTTTATCTCGCTCGATGGATGAAAGGAAAACTACTTTTGTTTTAATGTTGTTGTATTGAAGTTAAATTATGTTTGATTATCTCAATTTACATACAACTAATATCATAAATTTAGGAAACTTTTTTCTAAAATTAAATATTAACTAAGGAGACTCATTAGCAAAAAATGAGGTATCAGTTTCAGGATAATAAAAGTATATCGTTAATATTGTTTCCACAAGTACTATATATATATATATATATATATATATATATTTGCATCATATTAAGAAAGAAATATTTCACAAGTCTTAAGAGCTTGAAGAAAAATATGGCTAACCCAAAAGTTGTAGCTTTTGTTTGCTTATTTCTTCTTATATTCTGCATGGGTTAGTTGCTTAACATTTATTGTTCTTTTTTTTTTATTTTTTAAATTTTCATGTCTCTTAAAACACCAATGAAGATAATATATTATATTTTCTTTTCCTATAAGAAAAATACATAAGTAGCCAAAGCATGGTTGCAATTGCTTTAACTTTTGATTGTTTCATAGGGAAATTGACTTGACTTTTAAAGGGGTTATAAACAACTTTTCTTCTTGCATTTGAACTTTAAGTTCCACTAATTAAATCTAATATAGTTTTTTACATAATATCTAGCTTTTGGATAATTTAAATTATACATGCTAATATAACATTTTTATGTTAATTATGTTTTTACTATAGGAGGAACTTTAAATCTTGGACATGCAAGGAAAATCGAACTTCTAAACCCCTTACCTTTATTCTCAACACATTTAAAAGGTAATTCCACATAAATTATTTATCCGTTATCATTCATCTCTATATATTATGATTATTTATAAGGTGTTACGTAAAAATTATTTAATCATTTGACATTAGTTATTGTCGGTGTTGTTTGAATTAAAAAAAAGTTATTTCAAAAAAAATCTATAAACTACTTATCTTAGTAAAGATTATGTTATTTGATTTTTAAATTAGATATAATTTTATAAATAATAATACATTTTGGTATTTCTAGATATGAAGGAAATCGTTGCTGAT